AGGTGTCGCTCCTTACGGCTGCTGGGATGCCACGCCGTGACAGAGGCATCACTGCCGGCGCAGCTTTACGGGTCGCCGAACGCGCCAAGGCACGGACTTATCCCGAACTCGCGCAAGGCAATCGGTGCCGATTGGTTGTGCTCGGGATTGAGGTTGGGGGGCGGTGGTCCCCAAGGGCCGTTGAGTTCGTCCGACTGCTGGCCCGCAGCCGAGCTCGCGCTGCCCCCGTCGCCACGCGGGCAGCGACCGCATTTGCGTTCGCCTTGCGCTGGTCCGCGCTGCTGTCCTTTGCCGCTGCTCGGTCCTTTTCCGTCAGCCTTCTCTCTGTGCCGCTGTTTGGCACTGCCAATGTCGACGGAGAGGCTCCCTCCTGAGTGATGTCCTCGCTGATTCTGCTGAGCCGCCACCCATCGCCAGTCGCCTCCCTTGAGCGTGCGTTTTCCCCGCGCCTCAGCCTTGCACTCCGCCTTCACCGCAGTAGGGTGCCGCCCTGACTTGGGCCTCCTGCACTGGGACCGCGTCGTGGATTGTCGTAAAAAGGTGTGTGAAAAATAAGCAACGAACCGTTCGTGACACACGATCCTGCATGAGACATCCTGCAAGAGAAGGCCGCACGCACTGACTGACAAGCAGATGGCAGCCGATGCCTCTCTCCCCGTTCCAACAGTAGGGTGGGGTGTACGGAAATTTTTTCTCGCCCGCAAGCACAAGACTGTGTATTCAAAGAGGTTCCGGCAGGACGTGCTCAAGCAATCAAAGAGAGAAAATTTTTGAAACATGTTAAAGCTTAGTAAAACTGTCACAGTTTTTCAAGCAGGATACACGCTAACAAGAAAACATCCCCTTTCGGGAGAAATTTTTTCTTATTTGGTATGTTTTCAAGGGACGGATACATGCATGCAACAACATGCGAACACAGAACATAAGGCTGACATGTACTGCAGCAGTCGCACTCATCTTTTTGAACGGTGAGCGAGGGGCGCTGACTGAATTCGAATTGCTACCGAAGGTTGTACTGCGTATTGGCACCGAACTCGCTGGACTTTTCGAAGCTTCGGGCAAGCAACGAAAAGTTCGTGTCCTGCGGGAAAAAGGCACGTTGGAAAAAAAAAGTTCGTGACACACGATCCTGCAAGAGACATCCTGCGCCCGCACGCACTGACTGACAAGCAGATGGCAGCCGATACCTTTGCCCCCTTCAAGATCAGAGCCATCAATAGAGCAGCTCGTTTTCAGGACACCGATATTGCACTGTAGTTGACCTAGGTTGTCAAATCAGGTTGTGTAACGGAAAGGAGGTTTTGGCATGGTAAAAGGATCCATGGAGAAATCTACTGGAGCCATGGCAACCAAAGCTGCAACGACGGCGGCCGGCAGTTGCGTGTGTACTGGTCTGTGTTTTTGTTTGCTTATGTTCAGCTTGCAGGTCCGAGCACGGATACCATTCGGAGGACTGAGCATGAAGTTGTCGGGAAACCTGAACTTGCTGACGTGGTTGTCCATGCAATACTGGACATGTGGTCAGCCGCAGGACTTTGTAGCCACATGAACCGTCCAGCTCTCGGTTGCTTATGTGACGTTGCCATCTATGCAACACACACACACACACACGTGATTTTTGTTGGCGTCGCTTCTTCAAGAAACTTTCTTGCAGAACAGCAGAGCAAGGCACAGATTAGGAACATGTCCAAAGCGATACATCGATGTCCTTTGCAAGTGTTGGTTTGGATGCACACTCCATTGTACTGGACTGGATCAGCTTGTAACAGCTTGTGGTCATCATGCAGCTTGGCCTGAAGCAGCCGGCGCCGCATGTGTTGTTTGCGCCCAGTGGCGGCAAACTGCGTGGCGTGCAGCGGTGGCAGAGACTTAGAAAAGCAGCTGCGTCGTGGATGCCCATCGGATACTTGGCTCTGACGATGACCGCATTTCTCATGAAGTTAACCACTGGTTTCTTGGAAGGTGTGGAATCATGGGCAGTTGTGGTCGGGTTTTTTAACAGTTTTCAGCCGCAAGGCTTTGTACATTGTAGATCATCCTGAAGCCTCCTTCGGCCCAGAAGAGCTTTGAGGGCATATCCCCGGCAATTCACGATCGCGACAAGGAGCTGTTGCCCCCTAGTCGTTTTGGTTTTGATGTTTTGAAGGGCCTTTACGTTGAATGAGAGGCACGGAGAAGATTCTGCTGGCTTCGTTGGCGACCGGACTTCGCAGCTGCTTTCGTAGAACCATTAAGCGTCCTAGTACTGCGATCTCGGCTCATGCAAGTGACGACATCGATTTGGCACTGCAAGAGGCAGACCCCGAGCTAGCAGACATGCTTTTCCGAGAACGCAAACGGCAAGTGCGCAGCGTCAACTTGATCGCATCGGAGAACTTCGCATCGCCTCATGTGTTCCACGTGCTTGGTTCCGAGCTGAACAACAAGTACTCCGAAGGCTTGCCAGGGGCACGCTACTACGGAGGAAATGCAGTTATTGATGAGGTGGAGCAGCTGTGTATTGCTCGGGCTTTGGCAGCTTTCCGCTTACGCGAGGAGGAGTGGGCTGTCAACGTGCAGCCGTATTCTGGATCTCCTGCAAACTTTGCAGTATACACAGCATTGCTTGAACCACATGATCGAATCATGGGTCTGAGTCTCGCTGCTGGCGGACACCTCACGCACGGACATTACACTGCTCAGAGAAAGGTTTCGGCAACGTCCCAGTATTTCGAGTCTATGCCGTACACAGTTGATCAACAGACAGGCCTTATTGATTTTGAGAACTTGCGAAAACAGGCCTTGCTGTTTCGACCGCGCTTGATCATTGCAGGGGCATCTGCGTATCCCAGGCAAATCGAGTGGGGCTCCTTCCGTAGTATATGTGACGAGGTAGGCGCCTATCTTCTGGTTGATATGGCCCACATAAGTGGACTGGTTGCCTCGGCAGCACACCCGTCTCCGTTTCCGCATGCCGATGTGGTCACGACGACGACTCACAAATCCCTGCGGGGACCTCGCGGTGGCATGATCTTCTCACGCATCCACTTAGCTAAGAAGATCAACGATGACACTTGGCTCACCTGCTGTTGTTGGTGCTGAGCAAGCTTCGCTTTGGCTTAACCTTATGTTTCAGGTGTTTGAAAACTAGTTTACAGAAGTCCTCCAGATCATGACGAGCCGGTTTCTCAACATTACCGAGGCGGTTTTTCCTGCGCTGCAAGGAGGTCCCCATAATGCAACAATCGGGGCTTTGGCATTTCAGCTGCAACAGGCCGGGTACTTAGTTTGCGAATTTGGGGAGATTGACGAGGCGGTAGAGTCGGACATATTTGCAACCAATATCCTGCTTGATTTATAAGCATCTCGGCTCTACGCTTTGCTGCCCGCTAGTTCAGGGTGGCTGGGGCTCTGTGTTTTGTCTGTTTGTTTGGGGGTGCCTTTTGGGCCGGCCTTGGTTCGGGGACTGCATGCCATGGCAAGTGCCATGGCTTTGGAAATCGCTGCTCTGCATGGCTGCAACAAGATCCCACGGCAATGGAGCATGCAAGAGGACGCATTGCACAAACATGTTTATTATACTTCTTTGGGAATGCTGCTACAGGTATGGAGGACCGGGTTTCAGCTGTCCCAGGGTTCCA